CCCGAGTGCCAGAATCCATCCATCTACATCCCATCTAATCTATAGAAATGCTTATAGACAAGGCTATTCTTGGTTGTTGACTTGGCTATGTCTGGAATTAACTAAAACCCATGTGTCTGGGTTCATGTTTGAGGGATTTTTTTTTGTTTTTTTTGTTTTGTTTTGTTTTTTTGGTTTTTCCAGACAGTGTTTCTCTGTGGCTTTGGAGGCTGTCCTGGAACTAGCTCTTGTAGACCAGGCTGGTCTTGAACTCACAGAGATCCGCCTGCCTCTGTCTCCCTAGTGCTGAGATTAAAGGCGTGTGCCACCAACGCCGGGCAGAGGGATTTTTCTTGATTGAATCATTTGAAGTGGGAAGACCCACCCAAATCTGGATCTTTTGAAGTGAAAAGTTTCACTTTAAATATGGACCAAGTCTTCTGCTGGCAGTCTCCATAAAGGACATGGAAGAAGGAAGTGCTTTCTCTCTGCTTGCTTGCCCTTGCTGTCACTGGAAAGTCCATTTCTTCACCGGCATTAGAGCCTATTTCTTCAGGATTCCAGTGTTTACTGAAGACCAGCTGATACATCCAGCCTTGTGGGCTGGACCATTATTGAATTTGTGGACCTTCCATACAGAGACAGCCATTGTTGGGTTAGCTGAACCATGGCCTATAAGCCATTCTAATAAATTCCATAAGTACATGTAGGATTTATTTGATCACATATATGTGTATACATGGGATTTAAAAGATCCAAATATAGGAATATCTCTATGAATCTATATGTGTCTGTCTGTCTATCCATCATCTATTCAATCAGTTTTGTTCCTCTAAGGAACCTTGACTAATACACAGACACCAGTGGTGCATACTTGTAATCTCCATTACTCAGGGGCAGGGGCAGGGGATCTTGAGTTTAAGGCAAACTTGGACTATATAGTGAAAAGAAATGTCTCAAAAAACAAAGCGACCAAACAAAAATCTTAGAATTAGCCTTGTTTTAGGTCTTTGTATGTATAACTGCAACCAATCCTAGTAGTTAGTATTATTTCTGTATCTCTGTTACAGAAATAACAGAGGGCTGGAGAGATGGCTCAGCTGTTAAAGGCTAGGTTCACAACCAAAAATATAAGAAATAACAGAGGAATAAATCTGACCTGTGGCATCTGTGCCTCGACTAAGTCGAGTATCGGGCAAAAGCCTGGAGATTTAGTTAAAAACAAGCTGTCCCGGCGCTTGTGCAATGTGCATCTGTCCATCTTTATTCATCTGCCGTTTTCCAGGGAGAGAACAGCCTTACACACACTTACAGCACAGTGGAAAAACCCTAGGTGCAAGAGCTCGTGGAAGAGCTCGTGTTTTCCCAGGTGTAGTGGGGCGAGGCCCGGGCTGTAAGCCAGGACTAGAACACAGGATAAACCTGTGATTATTGGCTGATAAGCAACTCACAGAGACCCCGTGGGGGCTAGGACCCAACACTGACCCATGAGAAGGGATCCTGGAATTCAAGTCAGATCATCCATCAGATCATACAGTGCCTCTTACTCCTCTTAGAATAACTAACTCGTTTGTTCTTGCTTCTTTGTCTAAGAAATATTTATATTTTCTAGACATAGTAGGAGCTCAATAAACAACATCTTTCTCAACCTTTCTGTATATTTTATGCAGACACACACACTTATATTTTCACCTGTTTGGTTTTTTTTGTTGTTGTTGTTGTTGTTTAAACATGTTTATTACAACAGATACAATTCACATCTGACTAGCTTTGCTTCCTCTTCCCCTCCCACAACTGCATTCATTGACCTCTTTGGTTTTTTTAAGACAGGGTTTCTCTTTGTAGCCTTGGCTGTACTGGAACTTGATCTGTAAACCAGGCTGGCCTTGAACTCACAGAGATCTTCCTGCCTCTGTCTCTTGAGTGCTGGGATTAAAGGTGTGTGCCACCACTACCCAGTTTACCTGTATGTAATATATACCCACACATACTTTTTTGTCCTTGTTGTTTTTTGTTTTTGAGATACAATCCCAGGCTGGCTGTGATCATACTAGGGAGCCCAAGGTGGCTTTGAATTTCCAGCCTTCCTGCTGGGAAGGCATAAGACACAATCCAGGACTTTACTGTTACTATTGTTTATTTTTCAAGATGGTCTTTCTGTGTAGCTCAGGCTGGCCTAAACTCTCAATCTTCTTGCTTACTTATGCCTGTAAGTTCTAGGACAATCATTTTCCACGTATTTTCAAATAAGTAAAGCTAGAAAGTTAATATACCAGGCATCGTTCACAAAAGTAAGATAACAGATCCCAGCCCTGGGTGCATGCATGCTGCAGTGCTTTGCAGGCCATGCAGGATGTTTGGCTCTCCACTATAAGGGAGCATAGCAGCCAAGGGACATTCGATACAGGTTTCAGTGAACCCTTGGCTGTAGAGAGGCCATGAATTTTTGTAGCCCAGTGTCATCTGATTGGGAAAATGCACATCAGGTAGCAAGCTATTAAGCCAACTTGGTAGAGCGGGCCTACCAAGGAAAAGCAGAGTCAGACCAGCGTACAGGGTGATGGTCTGCTGGACTGGCCGACCTGTTAAACTTGGAGGAAGGGGGTGGTGTGCTAAGATGAAACCTGAAAAACCAACAGCCATGTTCAGAGAGGGAACGCTGTGTGCCTGAGGACACTTGGAGGGAGGGACACTAGAAAACACAAGGTGCCCAAGGCATCCCGGAAAGTAGCTTCGATGTCGATGCCCTCCGGGCTGAACTCAGGCGGGCGAGACGGTGGCACAAAGGCAAGAAGAAACAGGAAGGAGAAAGAGGCTGGTCAAGCCCCCCCGGCACCCACCGGGGG